GAGGAGACTGAGACATAGAAAGTTAAACTGGAAACTAGCCCAGGGTGACCCAGAGGGAAACAGTGGAGGCAGCCCAGAAGTCCGGTCTCTGATTTCCTACCAGGGCTCCTCCCTACCTTATCCCGTACCTGAAAATACCTGAGGAAGCAGTTAAGAGCCACCTGTGTCCATCTGGGCTCACGACTCAAGGGGTAAAAGAGGAAAAAGTGGAGGGGGGCGCTCTTCTCAGGAGACCTCTGAGGCCACCTCATCCTCCACCCATTCCTCTGGACTGGATTGGTTAGACCCCTGGACTCATCAGCAGATGTTCTAACAAGTTCAAGTTCTCAGAGCCATTCATTAAAAGTGTTCCTGGGGCAGCTCACACATCACGGCTGTCCAAGCCTCAATAATCATTCATGAGCCAGGACAGGCAGGTGGGGTGGGTGCGAGCCCCACTGGACCCATGAGGCCCCAGCGGACTGACTCAGCCCAAGGAGGACAGAACACGTTGTTCTGAAAAGAGAGCCACCCACTGTGTAACCCAGGACAGGTCCTTTTCTTCCCCAGGCCTCAGTCTCCCCATCTGTCCAGAGGGCACTTCAGTTCCCAACATGGGGCAGGGGTACACCTAAAGCCCCCCTCAGGGCTTCTCTACTTCCTCCTGCTCCTCAGAGCCCCTCCCATGTCTTTGGGGGCCTCTACCAACAGGAGCCCTTTCTCTGGCTGAAAGTAAAATCAGGCCTTAAAGGCACTGGGGGAGGGTGTGACTCTAAATCCCAGCTAGGCCCTTGAACTTAGTTTCTCCATGATTAGGGGGCCAGGAGTCTGTCTCCTGGGAAGGGTTGTCTTAAGGCCCTGGGAAGATCATTTGATGAACACTTGCCACTCGCCTACCTCAGTACCTTTGCACCTGCTCTTCCCTTGCTCTTCCTTTATATGTGCTTGGCTTTGATCAACTATCTTCTCCTTTAGGTATTTGTTCAAGTGTTCCCTCCTCAATGAAACCTGATGCTACAGTTGCACTACCTCCATTACCAGCTCCCCACTCGCCTTCCCTTTCATTCTCATCATTCTCATCATCATCTGCCATAGATCTCTCACCTCTCATACCATAGACCTTACTTGTTTATCTGTTGGGTTTTTTTCCCAATGTCTCCCTCTCTAGAATATTATTAGTTCCATAAGTATAAAGACTTGTGACTACTTGGTTCACTGCCATGTACCTTTGGAATAGTACCTGGCGTTGAGTAGGTGCTCAGTTAATAGTTTTGGACTGAATGTGTTAATCACTTGTGGACAGCACCTGGCACACAGGAAATAGCCGTTTTTATTCCACATTCATTCTGGACACATTTATGAAGCACCTACTATGTGCCAGGTGTCAGAAGATACGTTGGTGAACGAACAAGATGGTCAGGGTCCCTACTTGTACTTCGTGATCTGTAGGGCACTTTACTGTTTACAAAGCCCTTGGCTTCCCTGGCTCCTCACCACGGCCCCCTGAGATAGGCAGACCCATCAGACTGAGGAAACTGAGTCAGGTACATGCTCTGCTCCCAATCACGGAGCAAGTTCTTGGCCAGGCTGGCATCTATCCTAGGTCAGCTGAGGCCATATCCTGTGCACCCACTACTCTGCCTAACCTCCCTCAGGCACTGGGAGTCTTCCCTGCCCCTACCATGTTCAATTCTCTACTGTTTCCCATCACCCCACCCGCACTCTGATCCAGCTGGCTCTGCTCTGGACATCCTGGGAGCCCCTGGGACACATGTTGGGGGAAGCTGGCCCCTGCTGCTGAGGCTGACGTGGGAGGTTTCCAAGCCCCTTCTGACCGTCTGCTGCTCACATCCCTCCCTTCTTAGGCCTCTGGGGTTCCAGGTTTCGGGCCAAGAATAAGGGGTCTTTCTCTGATAAGCATTATCTCATTTAATCTTCTCAGCAGCCCCTAGGAGAAGAGCTTATTCCGTTCTATAAGGGAGGAAACAGAGGCTCAGAAGACCCGAAAACCCACATACTGAGTAGGAAGGAGACCAAGAGGACCCAGGAGCAGGCCTCATCCTCCATAAAGCATTTCCAGATGCCTGGATCCACAGGCTCATTTGTAATGCAAATATTACTACTACTTATAATAAAGTAACATTAATAGCAACCGTTTCCCTAGCACCTCTTATGTTCCAGGCACAGCTCAAAATATAGGTGGGAGCCAATCTTCACAACACCCTTATGAGGAAGGTCCTATCAGTGTCCTCATTTTACAGAGGAGGAGCTGAGGCACAGGGAGGCTAAGTCACTTGCCCAAGATCACACAGCCAGGAAGAGGGGGAGAGCAAGATGAGTCCAGGAAGTCTGGTGTCTGCGTTCCCCCTCTCACGATGCTCCCTCCTACTTCAGAAAATGATTCGGGGAGGGGCGCAACAGTTAGGGATTCTGGACAGACCACTTTTGCAGAAGCAGAAAGCCAAAGTCTGGAGGCAAAAGGCCGGGAGCAGGAAATGGAGCCAGGCCTCCCAGGCTGAGGACACAGGTAGGTTTAGCAGCGGTGAGAAGGCGCTCTCAGAATGGTCTCAGTCTCCAGCCCCCAACAAGAGGTGGGAGATGCCCTGTGAGCCGGGTGCCGCACCAGGCCTCTGCCAGGCTCCCTGGGCCTAGACACCCCATGTTCTCGTCCCAGACACCAGCGCCCCTCAGCCTCATTTCCCAGCAAACTGCCTTCAAGTCTAGGTTTGGGTTCTGCTGGCAAATACCCCGCTCGGGCACCACTGAGTTTTGCCAAGTTCCAGCCCTTCACAGAAAAGGGGTCGCAGAGAGGGAGGGGCAGGAGGAATGTTCCTTCACTCTCCCCTGCCCACCCAGGGAGAGCAGCTCGTCAGGAGAGAAAGGTGCAGGCAGCCTGTGAACTTATGGGGACATGGGGACAATCGGGGCTGTGGGTGGCAGCAAACAAGGGCTTCTCTTGTTTCTCCCAACCAAGGGAAAGGTGTCGCCTGCTGCGAGCCCCAGGGCCGAGGGGACAAAGGGTCAGCTCCACCCAGGGCAGCCAGGAGCCGCCCTCTGAGCCGGGCTGGAAGACCAGGGTATTCTGTCTTGACTGACAGGCCCTCCACTTCCGAATCCCCTCCAGCCCGTGAGGGCCCCTCCAGCCAGGCCCTGTGCCACAGGCAAACACTTCCTCTTACGGACCGTTTCCCCGGCAGAAAATGGGATTTGACGGTGCCTGCCTCCCAGGCTGGTTGGGGGATCAAAACATCGAACACGTTCAAGGCAGGCTTCTGGAGCTCCACACAGCCACCGTTTGGGGCCTGAGGTCTTTGTCGCGGGGGACTGTCCCCTTGCACGGTAGGGTGCTTTGCAGTACCCTTGGCCTCCACCCACCAACTCCATCGCCCTGTGACAACCAGTAATGTGTCCAGACTTTGCCAATTGTCTCCTGGGGAGCAAAATGCTTGAGAATCACTGATTTAAAGCATTTCCCAGAGCCTAGAACATAGTAGGAGATCTGTCCATGAAGTTAGGCAACATCTATCAAGACCCTTACCAATATCATCGGTTATTAGCACATCTGTTTATAGATGAGAAAACAGAGGCACAGAGAGGTTAAAGTAACTGGCCTAACATGACACAGCATATTAAAAAGCCAGGATTTGAACCCAGACAGCCAAACCCCAGCTCCCATCTATCATGCTTGACCACCCACATTAGTTCCTGTCTTCAGCGAGCTCCCCGAGATTTCCAAACTCCTACTCGGGTCAGGATGACATTATCTCTCTTCTAAGCAGCTTTTCCTAACGCCTCTGACAATACCCGACCCCATCACTTCCTTCCGCCTTTGCCTCCACTGAACCATGAAGGAGTGTGGGCCTTCGATAAGGCAGACCAGGGGTCAAATGCCAGCCCCACTACTCATTCAATGACCTTGAGGTGCTGGGCAAGTGGCTTCCCTTTTCAGCCTTGACCTTTCCATCTATAAAACAGATCTATCGGGGCACCTGGGTGGCTCAGTGGATTAAGCCGCTGCCTTCGGCTCAGGTCATGATCTCAGGGTCCTGGGATCGAGTCCCGCATTGGGCTCTCTGCTCAGCAGGGTGCCTGCTTCCCTCTCTCTCTCTGCCTGCCTCTCCGTCTACTTGTGATCTCTCTCTAT